ATCCTCGCAAAAAACATTCATCTCTAAAGCGATTTCGTGAATGTTATTGTTTCGACCGTTAAATGATCTCTCTAAATAACACTCGAAACAATAATAATTAAGATCAATACAAAGCGAATATCGACTTTCAAATCTATGTCTAGAGTTTGTATAGTTGATAGATGAAGAAACTAGGTAAAGACTTGAAAAGTTCATGTCTAAAGCAATCCAAACTATAAATATAACAAAAGATAGCAAATAACTTCATCTATATTGATCAAAGCCTTGTTCACATACAAAAGATCAAGAAGAATACATAAAATCGAAACTAGCTACCTCTAACCTTGACAAAAGAGAAGTTTTACCCACCCATTTCCATGATAGCTTGAGCAACAAGTTTCGGAAGAAGGTTGATCAACATCCGAGTCGAATAATCGAGATTGAATGAGAATCTACCTTCTTTTTGTGAAATATGGCTAAGAGATGATGAAAATGGAGAAACTAGGGTTTTTGCTCTGAAAAATCTCAAATTAGAAAAGGTACAAGAAAAAAGATATTTTTGCAAAAAGTACCACATACTACTTATAGACATGCAGCTGAACTGTCATGTTCGCACTACGAACAATGAAAAATGGCAGTTGAAGTGTCAGTGTACAGTGAAGACGCCCCTGAGCTATTTCCACACGTTCGCTGTGCAAAGAATCCTTCGCAGTGCGAAGGCTTCGCTGCAAACTTCGCACAATGAATTCTTGTCCAAATACTTACTGCCTCAAGTCTGGGGGTGTTCGCTAGGCATTCGCTTCGTCTTCGCTCCAGCAAACTCTTCGCTAGCTCCTTCGCACAGCGAACTTAGGTCCCTTTTCTTTCTGGATGAATAGTACTATACTTTGCAAGGCCTTCGCTGACAAGTTCCTTGTGCGAACTTGCTGATGTTTTTCTGGGCAGATTCGCTAGCAAGTTCATTGTGCAAACTTCTTGATGTTTTCATGCTGACTTGGTTTCCTTGTCACAATTTTGTGTCTTACTCTTCATATTTTCATGCCTAATTCCTGCACAATAGCACACAAATCAAAACAACCAAGACATTTTCACATGATGAAACATATCATCGAAAACAAGAATGATTCTAATCACTTTCTCTTAAAAAGGAATGAAAGATGCCAACATTTGATAGATCAAATAAGAAAAGTTTGGCTTCTAACAACTCTCCCCAACTAGATCTTTGGTTGCCCTCAAGCAAAGTATGCCTCTTGTTTGACAAGAGGATTTGCTCAAGATTAAGATTCCCCCAAGAATGGATAAAATGGCTCAAACACAAGGAATGCAACCAGGCACTGGTTCCAAATGTTGAGAATCAAATAATGCACAAGAACTAAATTCTTAAGAAAATATCAAGAAATGCATCAATTAACAACTATGTCTTTCTTGAATGAATCACCCTATCTCTTCTCTTCGAATAAGGATTGAAGAAATTATGCGTTTGCAACCGCGGAGACAATTTCACTCATCTAACAAACAATGCCAATATCAATCCAATTCATACAATATCTAACAATCAAAAATAAAAATATGGAAGCAAGAAGATCACTAAGGTCTTTAAGTTTGTAACATGGTCGGATTCACAAACAAGGGCCAATTAAAATACTAGGTTTTGGCATGAAGTCTAGGTGGGGACTATCCCTTTGTATAATTCTTTTGAGAGGATTTTTTTTGATCTCAAAGCATAAGACTCATAGAGATGGATTTCTTGGGTGCTTAAGAAGATGATATTTATGTTTGGAGCTTTCGCTGGAGAAGGTATTTCCTAGTCTAGGAGAAGGAGCTATTTGTGGATTTTAAACCTCTTACTATAGGTATAGTTAGACTTTAAAAGGTAGAAGCTTGGTTTTGAAAGCCTGACTTGACTAAGAGTTTTTCAGTTGGGTCGACCTATGGCAGCTTGTTGAATTTGGCAGGGGTGGGATGGAAGGCTCGGGAGAGTTATAAAGGTGTTGTTTAAGGTTTGGAAAGGTTGGAAAGTTTCTAAAGGTGTGGTGTTATCTTGGAAGTTGATTTAAAAAGGCTGAGAACAAGGCATAATCTCAACAGGCGACAAATAGTGTGAGGTCTTAACACTACAACAAATAATACTTTTCATGACAAGGTTTTCACCTCGAACAATAGAAAAATGAGGTATAAAGCTAAGACACGTTTTTTTTATTGTTTAAAAAAATCCCTCGGTTTTTAAAAAAATCGAGATGAAAAACAACCTAGTACAAATTTCGATTCCCAACTATCGCAATTTATGATGTTTATAAGTGTAAACAAAACGTTTTAACTCTTCTGTTTTTTATTTAACCGAAGTATAAAATAATAAGATTTTACTATAAATGCAGTCGTTAAGATTTTACCATAATCCTTACTAATATGAAGTCTTCTCAAACATCATTCTTTGGGATGGATTGCAAGGTATAAAATATCTTCAATGTTCTTCTATCATGAACAAAACATTTTTCTCTGCCTTTGCATACTATCTCACATATCTTGATGTTTTTGTTGTATTTATATAATAACATTCCTATATTGTCAATCAAATAAAACATTGAGAAAATATTATTGAGTAATTTATTAAACACACACATCCATTTCTCTTTCGTATTTTTTTTCATGTGAAAGCATTTTCCGTGAAAATATTTGCTCAATATAATCTGGGATAGATTGCAAGTAGAGAAATAATTTCTCTTGGTAGGAACAGAGAACTTCTAAGAAATCTTAAAACCAATGTAAATATAAAAAATATTTCTTGTTTGGAACACATAATTCCTTTAGGTTGTTCTTCAAGAATCCATTGTCAAACTCTTGATTTGGTTAAGTAACTTATTTTAATATTCTTTGTAAATAATGAAAAAATATAAAAAAAAAAAAAACAAAGATTTTTCACCTCGGTTTTAAGTAATAATCTAGGTAACGTTTCAACGTTTGTTTTGTTTATTCATGGTCCATTTAATGACTATGAACACTCAAGACACTGTCATTAGTGATCATCGTAAAAACTAAAATCTTCATTATAAAAGTGTTATGAATATTTAAATTAGATAGTAAGGAATCCACAAGAAATGTTATTGTGAAACTCTATGATTAGTTAGAGCGCCATGAGATTTTACAAGAGTAGAAAAAAAATTAGGTTTATTTAATATGTGTCTGGTGAGAGTGTATTTACTTTGCCAAAGATTTATGTGATAGATTGCAAGTGCAAACAATTATCTTGGGTTCAAGGTTTATGTTCTTAAATAATTATATAAGTGAATATTTATTTTATTTAGCTAACCTTTTTTTGTTTTATATAAAAAAAATGAATGCAAGTCATAGACAATATATTGCATTTGAGCTATGAAACGAGTATCCCCAACATTTTCTCTTCTCCGAGATATCCAACATTTGTTCTTCACCAACAACAATGACAATGAAGAACAACATTTTTACGCTAATATTCTGTGTAAACAATGTCATATTTTGTGTAAACAAAGTAGTTTGTAAACAAATTAATTTATTTTATTTAGCTAACCTTTTTTGTTTTATATCAGAAACAAATGAATGCAAGTCATAGAGAATATATTGCATTTGATTTATGAAACGAGGATCCCTAACATTTTTTTCTCCTAGATATCTAACATTTGTTCTTAACCGACTGCGATGACGAAGAACAATATTTTTATATTGATATTCTGTGTAAATAATGTAATATTCTATGTAAACAATATAGTTTTTAAACAAATTAATTTATTAATATTCTGTGTAAACAATTTAATTAAAATTATTTTTAAAAATTAAACTATCTAACTCCTCAATTTATAAATAAACCGAGAGGTTTGAGGCACTATTTGTGTAAATAATAAAAATGCAGATGTTGGGGTTCAAATCCATGATCATTTAACTTAACTTTACCCCTTTGTTTTTCATTAATCGTGTGTTAGGTGACAACTTTTCATATCACCGTTCGTTAAGTCGGCTTGATAGCCAAGATTACATCTATTTTGCATTCAACGTTATAAGAATTATTTGTAGTAGTGTAATGATAAATGTGTGAACTACTACAAAATATACACTTCATAAAATCTTCTGACTCCGGTCATCTATTTCACCGAAATAATATCTCATCTTTAAGCGCCTTTATTTTTTGTTAATTATTAAAATATTTTTCCCCACACTTCAAAATAACAGATGCGGTGATAAGCTAAGGTGTTACACGCTTCAAATCTCTACTCCAATATTTTTGCATTTTTTTCATTACCAAAAAGACGCGTTCAGTTAATTTTTATATTTATATTATAATTAAATTACTTCAAAGTGTCAATGAGTTAAATATTCAAAATTCAAAGAAACATTAACACTATATATTGACACAAAATCTTAATTAAGACAAAGAGTTATAAGTCATTTCTTTTATAAACCTAATATCTTCTCCATTTCTAGGTTAATATCCAAATTGTTTTCGTTTGTTAACTTGTCACCACCAGCACCCTACATTCTCAAAACCAATCTCTCCTAAGTAATCATTACTTGCACAAAATCATCGATCATTACTTACCTTTTTTGGGACAATTCTTTGTTTTGTCGACTCACTTTGATTTTTTGCAGTGTTTTTCAGAATTTAAAAAATTTGTTTAGGAGATATGTACATACGGCAGGTTTTAGGCGTTGGAAACATTCATTGTGTATCTTTCTCCAAAGCCATGCTCCATGTGACTACGTAGTATTACAGTCACTACTAGGAATCTTCAAAAAAAATATCATACCGACATGGATTATTGACATCAAAAAGAAGTTTTAAATTTTTTGCATTATCCAAACTTTTTCCATTTCTTTTTGTTGGTCCAATTTAGCCTAAAGTATGTGCTTTGCTGATGTGGTGATGAGGAGATTCAAAGAATGGAAACACAAGTTGTTCATGCCATCACTATATAAATACAACCTTTAGCCTTAGTCTTAATTAGTACATACACTTCAAACACATTCATTGATTCCTTAAACCATCTTATACTATGGACCTTGAAAACTGTAACTGTCTAGGCTCAAGAAACAACTGCATTTGGTCAAGTTATGAGAGAATTGGCTCTGATCCTATTGCATGTGTCAATGAATTTATGAGTAAAATCAAGATTGCAAGGTTGAAAACACTGTGGAAGAAGATCAAGAGAGAAAACAAGAGGAGAATGTTTAGATCATCTTCACCTGTCTTTCTATATGATACTAGCTCCTACTTACAAAATTTTGATGATGGTTGTTCCAATGATGATGATTTTTCAAGGTCATTTTCAGCTCGATATGCAATGCCATCTTCCAAAAAATTTAATAAGATTATTGGGATGATAGATGATGATGAAATAGTGGAGACAAACAAGCTAGCAACATGTTGCTTGAACTCCTTAATCTGAACTCAACATTTCTTTTTTACATATGGGAATTATGATTTATAATTGTACAAAGGTTTTATGTTATCTTGTAAATATATTTTACTCACTTCTGTCATATATGTTTTCTACTCACTAATATACTTTTATTTTTAACATGAAAAAAATTAACACTGATTTTATTACGTATACAAATATATAACTTATAATTTCTCATGCTACTAATAGAGAGAAAAAGAAAGTAAATAAAAACCTAACACCATATATATTAGAAATCAACATGCGTCTAACTCTTTCAAGGATTGTTCGATTGAATCTTTCAGCTAAGCCATTTTGTTGAGGAGTACCTGCTACATTCTTATGCCTTGCAAACCCAGACTCAACATAGTAACTGTTGAACGCTTCGTTGCATAATTCAAGGCCATTGTCAGTTCTCAACCTCTTAACCTTTCATCCAGTTTAAGTTTCGACCAGAATCTTCCAACTTTTGAAATTCTCAAAAGTTTCATCCTTCGGCTTCTGAATGGATACCCTTAGCTTTCTGGAATAGTCATCAACGATGGATAGAAATTACCTTGCACCTGAGTGTGAAGGATTCCTTGCAGGCCCCTAAAGACCAACATGAATGTAATCCAGGGATCCATGTATTCTTCGCTTGCCTTTGTTAAACTTCGCCCTATAGGATTTACCAAATACACAAGATTCACAAAACTTCAACTTTTTGACTTTGTCACTTCCTAGCAGGTTCTGCTTCCCCAATTGGACCAGACCTCTTTCGCTGACATGGCCCAATCTCATGCTCCATAATCATGTCTTCGACAAAGGTTTCGTGGATGCAACATTTGTCGAACCACTTACAACCTCAGCCTCAAGGGTAAAAAAGCCTTGATTCTTCACTCCTCTCAAGACTTCCTTCGACCCCCTCATGACTTTTAGGATAATTTTCTCTTTTTGAAAAACATATCCCATTCTGTCGAATTCACCAAGAGAAATCAAATTTCTCTTCAAGTCAGGTACGTACCTAACTTCAGTCAATAACCTTATTAACTCATCATGGAGTCGAATCTCACAGATCCAATATCTGCAATTTTGCAAGATTTGTTGTTTCCCAGCAGCACAAGTCCACCATCTTGATCACATAGCTTCTCGAACAATTCTTTGTTTGGAGTCATGTGCCAAGTGCAACCTGAATCCATAATCCACTCTTTTCTCGAGTCGCCACTTGAAACCACAAGAACATCAGATGAGTCGAAGTCATCTTGAGCAATGGTTGCGTTGCCATTACCTCCGTGATCTTTCAGGCGTTCAGGGCACACCTTTCTTGTGTGACCCTCCTTCTTTCAATGATAACATTGAATACCAGATGTTTCGCCACTATAATATTTTTGATGACTTTTACCTTTCTTCTTGTCGAACTTACCATCCTTTCGCAAGAATTTTCCCTTAACGGCCAAACCTTCGCCCACCGTCGAAGGTTTATGCTCCTTTCGTTCTTTCAAGTCCTTAGAATACAAGGCTGATTGAACTTCTTCAAAGGTCAGGGACTCCCTTCCATATAAGAGAGTTTCTTTGAAGTGAGTATGTGTCCTGGGCAAAGCACACAACAACAACAGTGCTTGATCTTCACCATCGATCTTCACATCAATATTTTCAAGATCAAGAATTAGCTTATTGAACATATCCAACTGTTCAGCCAACACTTTTTCTTCACTCATCTTGAATGAATACAAAGATTGCTTCCAGTAGAGTCGATTCACCAGAGATTTGGTCATGTACAAACTTTCAAGTTTCACCCATAATCCCGACGTTGTAGTCTTCTTTGACACCTGTCGAAGAACCTTATCACCAAGGCTCAACAATATTGCGTTGTGGGCTTTCTCAATCATGCCCGTCTTTTCTTTTGCCATTAATGTAGCGTCCATGACTACCTCTCCCTTCAACGCTTCCAAACAACCCTGCTGAACCAGTAGGGCTTTCATCTTAAAGCGCCACAGACCGAAGTCGTTCACTCCGATGAACTTTTCAATCTCATAATTTGTTAAGAGCATCTTCTTCATGCTCACTGCACCAATTTGTTGTGAATCAGATACCTTGAAACAAAGTATAAACGGTTTATTTATGATCAAGAAACACACAGGGGTTATGGTTAACAAAGATAACAAGGCACAACAAAAAGGAACAACAAGGATTGGTTATAAACTGCTATTCTTTCCTTACTCTTAGAACAAGATTACAAGTATATAAGAATAACAATATAACCTCTCTCTCTTGAAATTAGGATTTTATCTTCCTATTTTTCCTTATGTCAAGATTGAGAAACTAACATCCTATTTATAAAAATATGTTGTTGTAAGGTATCGAACCGTTGATCTTATGCATTTTAACTCCGACTTTATAAACACTTAGGGGTAAAGTTTTCACTTTTCTTGTCACCCTTTGTTACTTCGGCATTGTAACCAAGATGAAATCTATTTTGCATCTGACATAACATGTATTATTTGTAGTAGTGCCCCTTAGCTGCCACATGAACCGAGAGAACACTACAAGAAAATGTTGATTTTCCCTAGTAATTTAGTGACGTGGTAAGCACGTGGGAAAAAATATGTTTCCAAGTGAATCTCACGTCACTAACATATTTAATTAATAAATTATGTAAACCTAAAATCTATAACGAAATATGTGAATTTTAAGAGAGAGGGAAGTTTGAATTTTTCAAAAATTCAGTTGTGGCGTGATAAACACATGGGAACTAAAAATTCAAAAAAGTCTTTTTATTTGCCACGTGAGGAGCATGTCACAAAATATTCACATGTCATTCACGTCGCAAATGGGTAATAATGTAGTTGGTTCTGACGTGGTTTTCACGTGGGCACCTTCCACGTGTCCACCACGTCGCAAGTCTTCTTATATAAACCAAACCCAGAATTTTCTTCACACGCATCTCAGTTCTTCTTGTTTTCCTTCTATCTCTCCTTTCTTCCTTCTTCCCCTTCTCTTCATTCTTCCACTTCTGCCTCCCTTACACCTTCATTTTTTAACGAAAATTTCACAACAAATTTAAGGTGATTGATATGTATGTTGTTTTTGTGGCTGTTTTTATATTTTTCTTATTATTAATTGTTGATTTTTTTTCTAGATCTAAAATTAAGAAGTTCCATTGAAAGTTTTGAAAGTTAGCTCTATATTGAGATATTTATGCATTTCAATTTGTTTATTTTTCAGACTTTTGGTGATATATGAAATATTATTTTAGAATATTGATTATAAAATTTTAGATTTTTTTGTTGTTAGATGTAAGCATATATATGTATTATGTTGTTGTTGTTGAAAGCTAAATATAAAAATAATTTGTTATAGAATATATATTTTTAGAATATATATATTTAGAATTAAAAACATAATATATATATATATATATATATATATATATATATATATATATATATATATATATATATATATATATATATATATATATATATATATATATATATATATATATATATATATATATATATATATATATATATATATATTAGAAAAATATGTATTTTTAGAAACAAATATATTTAAAATATATTTTTAAAAATTAAAATATATTTTTTTTAAAATATAATGAATATGTATTATATTTAAAATGTGTTATTTTTAAATGTATTATTTTTTGAAAAAGTATTTTTATTAAAAAATAATGAATATGTATTATATATATTTTAAATGTGTTATTTTTAGTAAACCAATTATATATATTATAGAATATTATATTATTGGATACTTATTATATTTTAGTAAACATAATATATATTATTCTAGAAAAACAAAATTTTAAAAATAATGATAAAATAGATTTAAACATAATTTATAGTATTTTAGAAAAAATAGATTTAAACATAATATATAGTACATTTTAAGAATATGTAGTATATTTTAGTAAACATAATTTATACTCAGAAAAAATAGATTTAAATTTATGTCTAAATATATTTTAGTGAACATATTTTATTAGGTTGGTTCCCACGCGAAAATCAAGTCATAAATTAGTGACGTGAGAATCACATGGGAAATAATGAAAACTAAGTCACTAATTAGTGACGTGATATTTATGTGGAAATTTTTTCTCTTATTTTTGTTATTTGCGACGTGAGATATATGTCACAACTTTGTGATTTGTTTTTCACGTGGGAAAATGTTCCCACCATTGCATTTCTGACGTGTTTTACCCACGTCACAAATGTGGCTCAATGAAGTGATTTTTGGGTTAGTGACGTGAAAATCCTTTGAGAAAATGCAATGTTTCTTGTAGTGAAATAAGTCATAAATAAATATATAAATCTAAAAAAATAAATGTGTTTAAATGCAATTGGTAGAATTCGAATGGATTTGATCATAGTCTTTCATCTCGGTTGTCCACATAACTGAGCGCATAAATTGTATTTCTTTTTTAAATAATTAAAATGTGACACGTTTATAATTTAAACCTCAACTTTAAGAGTGTCTGAGGTAAAAGTTTAATTATAAAATGTATTATTTATTATAGTGTTATAAATAAAAATATTAAAGAAATTTCTATAGAATGAAAAAAATTTTAAAATTTCAGAAGCAAATGAAAGATAGGTGAACCGTCATTCTAACTTGCTTGAGTGTGAAAACAAGGATACATAAAACTAGAATGTTTGCATAATCAAAGAAATTCAATAAGATACAAAAGATTAAAAAAAAATTCAAATAGAGATTCCATTGCATAGGATGACAACAAAATGAACTGTCTCGTTGAATCTAGTAAAAAACAAGGAAGAAATTCACCTATGTCCAACGACAAACCACAATGAAAATAAAAAGTAAATAATCTAACGTTTTTCTTCATATATATATATATATATATATATATATATATATATATATATATATATATATATATATATATATATATATATATATATATATATATATATATATATATATATATATATATATATATATATATATATATATATATATATATATATATATATATATATATATAT